ACGCTTTCAAGAATGAGATTAAATAGCTGATTATATTCTAAGATATAATTTTTAATTTCAAAGATCCAAAAATTTAAGTACATATTAAATAAACAAAAATATAGAAAGAATTCGATACGCGTAATGTATATTCTTATTATTAGAAATTACTCCCGTTTATCGAATTAGGATATTTTAATTTTTTAATGATAATTCACAATCTCCAGGCAAAATTTTTGTCCTCTCCTTATAAATCAGTTGTTTTAAAATTCACCTCCAATCCCTACCAATTAGTCATGGATTATCTTTCTAACCCACACTGAAGAGCTAACACAGCTGAGAATATGTCTCCTACGTCAAAAATAACAAATGTAATGTCACTAAAACAGAACGTGTTTTTACACTTGCTAATTAAACTATTATTTTGGATAACAGAGATTTCAATACGAATTGTACGTATTGTACGTGCATGTACGTAAATTAATTGCATCGATAAGAACGATTAATAAAATCTTTCAATAGAATTTGCTAAAACGAACAAAATTAACGTATATCAAGCATTTATTCCAGGAAAAAAATATGTATGTGTGTGTAATTCTATTAACACATATACATTTTGTATTCCTCGTACTTTTTATTTATTTGCGACATATATAACTTTTGTTAAAATACGTTTATCATTAATATCAATACGTTTTTGTGTTGATATAAGATGCGACAAATATTGAACAGAGATTATTCCTGAAATTCACCCCTCAACACGATCATAGGCCACCGATACACCACCAAAGTAAAAAACCTGTCCGCTCCAATCAGGATTAGACCGATTGTAATGGGATGAGGTTTCACGCTGAATTGAGATCGGCACAGTTTTAAAAAGCCACCCACCCTCTTTAACTAAGCCCTCGCGGGTGAGGGGTGGAAGCGGAGTGAGACAAGGGGACATATTGTATTGGATTAAATTAAGCAAGGGGACTGCTTTCTCGTACCGCGCATTATATGCACAAAAATTGTGTGCCAAGTGAATCGTGTTTTTCGAGGAGAGGGAGAAAGGGCGGTGTACCGCAGGCCGAACGAAGAAGGGTGAAAGATGTCCAATGCACCAGGACCGGTATGCCACGAGGGATCCGACATTATTTTGTCATGTGACCCGTGTCATCTGCATCTTCACGTGATATTTCCTCGTTGCGAACACGACACGTGCAAATCTAAGAGCTACTGTACAAATACGACGCAACGTAGTTTTCCGAACAGATTTTACTTTTTTTTTATTTAACTTTACGGCTCTTACAGCAATATTTATATGCGACGAAAATCTTGAAAATTTATTCTACCGTGTAATTTTATATTTTATAAAAATATCCCCCCCGCTGAAACTGTTAGCGTGAGTGAAACCGAAACACTATCGTATTTTAATATTTACCCGTGAACAATCATGTGAATTGGATTGACTCTTAAAATCAAGTAAACAGTTCCTAATGGTTAAATACTGCCTCAAACGCGGGGCGCGTGGTCGTAACAGAGAATCTCTGTGGGGTCTCCGGTGGTCACGTGTCGTGTTACATGACACTCGTTTCTGCGGGACGCGAGCAATATGTCGACGTGCCACGTGGACAGCGGATATGCACTTTAACTTCTCTAGCATGGAATGCAATGCAGAAAAATTTGCCAAGTTTAAAAAAAATATATTCAATTAAATTAAGATTGGATTATTTTAAAATATAATGAAAAGTTTTCTCTATGTATAAGATTATGTAAAATTAATTATTTAATTATGATCTAATAATAACTGTTGTAATAATTGTTAGCAATATTACAATTGTTATAATAATTGTTCCCATATATTTTCCCAACTCAATGCAATAAATATAAATTCAAATAAGACGAAAAATAATATAAAATTAAATTTAAACATACTAGAAAAATTATTAGCAATCTTTAGATAACTATTGTTCAGTCAAACTCATCAGCTAAACTAGTAGGTCTGGCCAGCACGGTTTGCAGTAAATACACGTAAGCCACCGTCTAGTTTGAGGCAGCGTTAGACTTTTGACACTTGCAGAACCGAGACGAATCACCTTTATGACTGCCTCCCCGCAAAGGCGACCATAACTCAGGATTTCAGTAAAGGGATACAGAACAATGAGATTGGTTCCGTCTCCCCGTAGCAAAAGCTCCCAAGTCTACGCGCATCTCTCGTCATCGACGATTCGCATGCATCGCCTCTACGCATCTTTAAATGTATGCAAAATGTACTTATCGATAACGACGATATAATATAGAAAGTTCATAATATTTGGTACATGGTTATATTAACCTACCTACATATCTTCGATTACGAAATATCTTTTTTACATCTCAATATTTATGCTCATAAAAGAAAAACATAAATATGTGTACACATCACTGATAATATTTAAGATTTAATATTAACTATATACTACGTCATAATAATAATATAACGTGCAAAAAAATTGTATGGCATTAATGTATTATTAAAAAATGTATGTCATCCCTACAAAATATCATATTTACAAATTATTATTTCTTGAAATTAATATCGTTCAATTTCTTTTCACACTGTCTCTATAAAGCTTTTGCATTTTTAATAAATAAAGAAGAATTTCCCAGTTAGAACTGAACAATATCGCATTCTCCTGTGCAAGGCTGAAATGCACTTGCGTCTCCTTGTGCATCGTCACACCGGGTGCTTGGTGCACGGCTTGGTGCGCGAATACAAGATCGAGGAGGGGTGCTTCCGCGTAGGCTTATTTTGAACATCCCACCCATGAGGGTGCAGCGATAATACGTAGATGATAATCGCGATATTAATATCGCATTGGGAAGCGCACACATGCGTGCAAGGGGCCCATTGGTCACGGTGGAACACTTGCTCGCTTGCTGGCCCCGCGGTTGTCTGAATTGCACCCTGATTTTAGAAAGAGACGGCTAGAGGGAACGACCCTCCGCGGCAGCGCGAGCGACAAACGAAATTTATCAGCAAACTGCAAGATAGGTAAGTAGGTATGATATCGTAAATATTCTATAATATATGAAAATTCGTTGAAAAAAAAAAGATTGCAGAGGTAATTATAATTGATTTACTAAATTATTTTATATCCATATTAATTAGCGTATTAATGAGAAGTTCTTGACAGATAGCATAGTCAGAAAATTTTACATACTTCCAGTGCGCCCCCTATTTTCCTAAATAGCTACACCTTTAATAGGGTCTTTACAAGCTCCCCGAATCTTTCATGTTTCTGCTTCCTACTCACGAATCGTGCAAGGGACTGCAACACTTGCCGCGTACATTTTAGGGCGCGATAGAATGGTGAAACACTCGTGCTCGAGTTTCCAGCGATCAGGGAGGGGTTGGTACAGGGAATGGTGCGGCTTGTGAACACTCGTGTCATTCCCTGCCCCGACATCATCCACGCGGATGAATCACGTCATTCATGAAAGAGGTTCCGCGGCCTGAAGAAACCATGCCCCTCTTCTGGTCCCAAATCAGGCTAGTAAGCTACGCGACAGCTTCGAAAACGCATCTTAAGAATTCGCGAACATTCACGAGAGGACATATTTAAAGTTCAATAGAGGCTCGTAAAACACCCAAGCAATTAAATACAAAGTCGAATATGTGAAATTCGCTTTTATTCATTATTGAAATGAAAAATATACGTCATGCGAAATCTACTGTTTTTGGCATTTATATCAATATTCAATTGATGTGCACAGTCAATTTATCATAGGCGATTAATCTTGTCGTTAAAACGATAAGTACGTCGTCCAGCGAAAGCGTTTTATGAGATTATCTATCGCATACATAAAAAAAGAAAAAGAGAGAAAGACACGCATTGGCAAGATAGCGCCGAGATTCTGGGTGAGATCGAGATTGCCGGACGATTAGACATATCCGAACGATATCGCGCCTACGCGATCAATGGCTCGGACCACCGGGAAGAATAAGCCACTTAATTTCCTAATCAACCGTTGATTCAGATGCACCTTTCGGCCGATCCCTCGCATTGGTAATACAGAAACGCGTAGTGGGTCGCAGCTGAGCCAAACAATGTCTTTTCACATGAAGCTTTTATAGCCCCATCGAGAGTACTAAAGGTCTGCTCCTAGTCCTACCCTACCGATTCGCGAATTGCACGCGTCTTCATCAAAAGCGCGAGTATATTTTGCATTACACCTTACGATTAAAATCAAGACGCGCAAAAGTAATAACATGAGTTATTACTTTTGGGAATAATGCAATCTAGATTTATTTAGATATAGATTTAGATATTATACCTAAATACAATGCAATTAATAATGTATATTTAGATTAAGTTTATTAATAAATAAATATTGTATGTACATGTATATAGTTAACTCATCTCAATTTTTAATTGTTGCTTCTTCATTAGCAATGTACAAGGCGCCCGTAATACCACGTGACGAGAAAGTAGCACCTGCTCCAGCAGGCAGAAAAACCCCAAAAGCGAACTTACGACCAGCTAGCTCCTCCCATGCCACGCGTTTGCACCAACGACATGAGTCGCAAGCAACCCAGCAGCCTGTCTACTACCGGCCCTAAATACAATTACGTATACGTATCTACTCATACAAAGAAGAATAGAGGGGGGGAGAATACGCGGCTAGACCAATGATCAAAATCATGCACCACCTCCAGTACAGATTTAAAGCATGTATGAAATATGTCTCTACCTTAGTTGATATCTCAACTCACGACTATGCGGATCGACGTACGACGGATCAAGGTACACCTTGAAAAGACTTGACACTGTGACTATAAACATACGTGGGTGTTCTGTAAAACTGTGAAATGTCATAGTGCAACTTTAATTTCGTTAAATATTTTTATTGTAATCTATGTTTTTCGAAAACATAGTTTACAAGGAGAACTGATCGAAGGAGAACCAAGGTTTGCGAGAAGAACTCCAAGGTGAAGAAGTATCGAAATTTCTCAGAATTGTTCGACAGAAATAATTTTGAATAGGGACGTGCAAGTGATGTATCCTGTAGTATCGGAGTACGAGGCGATAAGGAGAAAAAGCGGAGAATCAGAAGGCATTAGTTTATCTCAAAGATACCAAGTACAAAAATACTTAGCGCAAGGATACGTGAATTTATCCATGATCGGACGGCCGAACTTCTTCATGAGCAGACCGCTCGTTCGAGCCACTGGACTTCTTAACAGAAACTCCACGACCGAAATTATCCACGTCAATACGTTGTCTGAGGGAAATACATCAGTTAATCAATATGTATGTAGTGCGAAAACTTTTGTACAAATTTTATAGTATTTTATTTAGAAGAACTAAATTTCTATCTTAAGAGTTTTCATTTTAATAAAACATTTTTACATTCAACGTTTGCGGTAGAGTGATTTTATCGATGCATAGTAGTTTTTCATTGCAACTTAAAATCTATTAAACATTGCTATTCTAGAGTGCCATTGAAATCACTGAAGTCAGCGGTCGCCTTCACTGTCTCAATGGATCTATAAGTCCAGCCTGTTGGCTGAAAATCATCACCTTGGCGACAGATTTCCAAAATTACAACGTTCTACTCACGATTAGCAACGGGGGACTCGTGTTAAAAGCAATAAAAGACATAGCGTCAGGAGAACCACTGTTAATGTGGTTTGAGGATTGTATTTTGACTATGTTGAACATTCCATTTTTAACACCGGTAAACTGCAACATTCAAGGTAGGTATCTTTTCTAATCTAAGTTTTCCGCATGATGTTATCAGTAAATTTACCAGTTGTCTTACGCTAGTTTTCTTTATTCGCTAGTTGTCCTTAATAATTTATAACTATTAATTTTATCATTAATAACGCCTTTTAGTTATTATTAAATTTTATCTCTTATTAAAAAGACCATAGTCCATTTTATAATAATTGTGTCGCTGAGAAGTTCTATTGATAAAAAGTATATATACATATAAATATATGAAATATATATATTTTACAATTATTTAATGTATGATATTTTACATTATTATCATATTAATGCAATTTAAAAGTATAAAGTTTATTGCAGATATTTAAAATAAGTATATTATTCATTAGACTAATCACGCGGTAATTGAACTAGATTGATTTATAAAATTTATAAGATTTATTATCTGATTTATAAGACAACTTCATACAGGTTACGTAAAACTTTTGTGTTAAATAGGACCAAGTACTAATTGAATTTCAATTAATGCTAATATAAAATTGATTACAATATTGGCAGATTTCTCAATGTGTTACTTCAAGAATCTAATCATTTTATTACTGTTTAATATTTTTAAATTAGTTGAGAAATAAAAAATAAAAAGATGTTATTTAATAAAACTTCGTAGTCTGTCGCATAGCTAGTCTAGCAAGATCAATATAAATTTTACTTTTTACACTGATATTACGGCACTCGTAAGCGATAAATAATTTTCATGGTTTTTAATGAAAAACAATTTAACGACATTCGCAAGAAGTGAATTCCGAAAACTATAACTTATATAATTCTAAACAGCATTAATATATAATAATAATGCAAAATAACAAATGCATTAGTAAAAAATGGAATATGTCCATGCACCATTTATCAATAGATAATTATTTGAATTATCGCAGGTCAGGTTTACATGTGTCACAATTGCAACAGCTGTTTTGATTATCCAAATCCTCTGAAACTGCATTTGGCGTTGGATTGCAACCGAATGGACAACAGTTACATTTGGATGCTACTAGCGAACAAGATCGTTAATTCCCAGAGTACGGATTTCTCCTTCAGTCATGCAGGAAGAAGTTTCACGTTTGAGCTGAAGCCCTTGCCCGTTTCTAGACCGACAGCATTACCGATCGGTATTCCAGCGTACCCGATTCAAACAATTGACACCACCGCCCGTTCATTGAGGAACGATTCGCCGTGCTCGTCGAATCAGTTATCGTCCATCTCCTCGAACGGTCCCTCTCCGGTACCCCCGTATTCTTCGGTAAAATCCCCGCCGGCAGAGATCTTACCGAGCACGTCGGCCTACGAATCGCCTATCGAGAACGTGGAGAGAAATCGCTATTTGGCTCTGAGGCCCTACGAAGTCCTGATGCAGCGAGACGTCTACAGGAGTAGTTTCATGCCCTACGACATGCGTCCCGGCGTACAAGCGGAAACCAAGAGGAAGGATCCCGCGCAAGTGGAGACACTTGCCAGCGACATGGGCAAGTGCGGCGCCGGGTACAGGTGTATATTCTGCGACAAAATATACTCGAGAAAATACGGACTGCGGATCCACATTAGGACACACACGGGTTACAAGCCCCTGAAATGCGACTTCTGCCAGCACAGATTCGGGGATCCCAGTAATCTCAACAAACACGTGAGACTGCATGCGACTAACGACAGCCGTTACAAGTGCAGTATTTGCAACAAAATGCTGGTCAGAAGGAGGGACTTGGAGAGACACATAAATTCCTGGCACTCGGAAAAGAATGACGCTAACGTTTCCAATGCCGAAATCAATGACGGGGATTAGGGGCCAGGATTAAAGAACGGCGAGTTCCGCAGAGTGACTTAGGCTTTATCTCACAATAAAAACATGTCATTGTCTGTGATAAATAGATTATTCAGAGAGACACTGATAATCGTAAGCAATGACATCTTTTTCTCTAAATCGATTTTAAATATTAAGATGTTGTACAGAAGAATATACTATTTTCAGATTAATTATAAGGAATAATATCGTTCCCCCCCGCTATTTTCTAACAATTTCATAGCAACTATCAGTCCTTCCTCATTGAAAGACCCCCAGTTGTAAATCGTATTTTAATAATTATAAATGTATTTTTGTAATTTATAAATCAAACTATAAATCGCTTGTTTATGGATCTAGCTATACGCGTGTTACAATCCCCCATTACAGATGTCGATAAACAAAGTCAGCGTATTTTATATTTATAAGAACTGTTGTTGTTGAAAATAAAAACTTGTATGCATCATAAATTTGTAAATGTTACTTCCTTGCATTGTTTTCCGCTCGTTAAGGTCGACGTTATTGCTGCAACGGTATTCTCAGTTATCTAGAAGACTGTCGAGTGAGTGTGGATGAATAATAGACTGCCCGACTTTTAAATTACTTCTTCATTGCAATAAGTACGGACAATAATTGTTTCTTTAGACGACACATTGAAAATTTAATATTACATTGTAATATTACATTTAATATTACATTGTAATATTACATTTTCAATGTGTCGTCTAAAGAAACAATTATTGCCCGTTTTAAACATTTAAACAGGAGTGGCTATCGTATTGCATTGCATCGCGCAATTTGATTAATTCATACGCGTAATTGATTTATGAAGACTCGATCGTCCGAACAATACTATGATCGCACGCAGCTCACTTGTCGAAACTATCGCACGATGTACTGTATCTAATGAATTCAAGCCATCAGATTGTGTTAGATATCTCACAGTGAGAAATTCGCCATTGATATATACTTAATTATCGCGTACACGTCCATGAAATGGTCAACAATCATAAATTCACTTACCAGTCGCTGCACCGTCGCCATCGTCGTTGTCGTCACTGCTTCGGCGGGCGCTAGAAAAGAAAAGAGAGGCAAAAGGTGAGCGTATAAATTGCAAAAGGCTTAAAAGAGTGCTAAATCTTACGAACATGGACATCTTAGAAACGACCATTTACTTCGCATGCCAATCCGTCAAGACCCCTTTTTTCCATCGCATCAAAAGTCGCCACCAACACACACACATACACGCGCAAAATTTTGCTACGCACACTCCAGTCCAAGTGCAGAAGGTGCGACGAATAGCGCAACGGAATCCCCCCCCCCCCCCAAGCGACGTCAACGGCATCTGTGGCACAAACCGCGAACCCTGTTACGGCCGCTTCGTTACGCGCGGTCGATACGAGTAACGAGGATCAGCCTGCGCTCCGGCACGCATCTATGATACTCGCAGGACTTTAAAATACGGATACAGGCAATCGCACACGGTGAGCAACAACGATCCGATTGCAAACGAGACACGTGAAACCTCGCGCGAAGACTCGCGCTCGCCTGCGCTCGGACCGTCGTCCAGCAGCGGGAGCGAGAAGAATCACGCGAGGTTATATGTGCGTCCCGTACTCGTGATGTAACAGCCCCCCGGGCCGTTGTCGTTGACGCGAGGGGAACGTATTCTTCTCTCTGTGACAGAAACACCGATCGTTTTCAGTGCGCCATAATGTCCAACCTCGCTCGCACCTTGCGCCCCTTCCTCAGGTGCGTCCGCGGCCAGAGGAGAAGCTATGCGGACGCTGCGTCCGGTAATGAGATGAAGTTCACGTTCGCTGGCGCTAATCAGGTAGGCTGGAAAATTGTACGGGATGATAAGGGATCGCAGTCGTGCAAACGTTCTCAGTATGCTCTTCCTTGGACACTAGGTATTCTACGATCAATCCTCGATTCGTCAAGTCGACGTACCTTCCTTCTCGGGCTCCTTCGGCATTTTACCCAAGCACGTGCCCACGTTGGCGGTGTTGAAGCCTGGTGTAGTTACTGTCTACGAAGATGACGGTTCGTCCAAGAAAATTTTCGTCTCCTCCGGCACCGTCACCATTAACGAGGACGGCAGTGTACAGGTATACACCTGGATTTCTTCAGTGAGCTCAGTGTAACACAGTTTCTTCGTTGGATACTAAAACGATTTGTTATTTGCCGGTAGATCTTGGCAGAGGAAGCCCATCCAGTAGAAAACCTCGACAACTCGGCAGCGAGGGACATTTTGAGCAAAGCTCAACAACAGCTCTCCTCGGCAACGTCGGACGTAGATAAGGCTGAAGCGGGTATTGCGGTTGAAGTTGCAGAAGCACTTGTACAAGCTACGCAATGAATGTTACGAGTAATATGGAATTATACGTGTATACATATGTACTTGGACACGCTACCAGTTAGAAAGAGGCATGTGTTCGAACGCATTCTTGTTCTTGATATTGTTGTACGACAGTGTAGCAACAATAAAAATGTGTTAAATTACGTATATCTATTTAATTGAATACATTGTGCCAAATTTTATGTTACAATTAATGTGCACAGATGCTAAAAGGAAGGTAACAGAGGATAGTTGTTATAGATTCTTTATTGAGTTAGTTTTCGTATTTGTTCATTAACAACATAATAAATATGCTGCTATTTACAAGTTATTTAGGTACATTGATTTTATTGCAAGTACTTATAACAGCCATAAAAATTTCCACGCTAAAATTGTTAAAAACTAACATCTCTCCAATCTGTTCGTTACAATAATGCATAACATAAAATACTAAACTCTATGGTAGTTAGAACCTAAAACGTAGTATCTTTACTTAGTAACGTTACAGCAGTAACATTACAAATACTTTGGTTGTTTATAAGTATTTGGCACTTCCTGATTAACTGAGGAAATATCAAGTTCTTTCACTAACGTGCACTAGTAAAAAGCTTTTTCTCAAAGATATCATGTGTATAAACAACAATAAAGTAGAGTGATATTCCTAGAGTTAACACTATGATCTGGGACCATACAAGAGCACTACATTCAAGAGTTAAATAAATTAAATTCTTAAACATACAACTATATCATTATTTTTGTATTTATATATATTATAAATAAAAATTAAAAAAGAAGATATTAACATGCTGTACATATTTTTAACGCTCTTAAATTTGTGACAACTTTTTCAGCAATATTATAGATTCAATTATATAAAAAAGCACATTCGTTATTCAGATATCAAAATATACTATCTATTCGTTTTTACGTTGTACGAAAAGATTATGAAATTGGATATACTCGTAAAACATTGTTCGTGTCAAAATAACTTATTTGTATAAAAGTAATTGCATAGAATGCATTTTTCTTCTTGCATTCCGGTATATATTTTATCAGTTGTCAATTTTCTTTTCAAGTTACGTTTGTGAATTATTTTGAAATTGCGGATATCTTGTTTATTAATATTATGAATTATGCAACAGTAATTTTATATGTATAAACACTTTTGTAAAAAGTCTACAAATATTTGGCACAAGGTAATGCATAGAATTATATGTAGAATATGTAGAATCCCTTAACAGGATTCTATCTATGTATCTAGCACATATATGTACAGTCACATATTCTCAATTCGTCCTAGATAAAATATTCGAAAGGCAAAAATTGCCCATATTTAAAGCTATTGGGTGTAAAATCACAAATCTTTTTGGGGATTAGCATAGAAATACAGCATTATTTTTTTGTTTGCGTGACTAGTTAAAATTAGTAAAGAATATTTATGAATCACTGATTCTTGGCTAATTGACATTTCATCAAGGATGGTAACAATTTTTCCCTACAACATGCATTCGTAGCATTGCTAGTATTCTTACAACAGTTGCTAAATATTTTCTGTAGCTGCTGCAGTGTCTGTAGACAGATTACAACACAGCAAGAATCACAACCACCGGACTCGGTGTTGCAGGAACATTTACTTTGCAAAGAAGACACAAAGTCGGTTACGATTTGTACCGTGTCTTTTTTCGTAACTTCTGCGACCGGGTTGCTTGTGCAGTTCTGACAATTTTGTAAGTTATCGCATTTACAATCAGTGCATTTACATATATCAGCGTCTGCCGTGATCTCCTGTAAAATATTTCTATCTTTGTTTCTTATGTTACCTGCCTTATGCTCATATTCTGCAATTTTTTGACATTGTACAATATCGACGTTCGCCGAAGTCTCCTGCGCATTCATCGCGACGGTATTTTTCAAGTTTTCCGTAGACGGCAATTGGGTCTCTATTTCCACCGGATAAGGCTCTGGACCTACTAAATCCACCAGAGAATGAACTGTGGGGAAAGCATTTAATTCTGACCAAGATTGTGCTCTCAACGCAGGCGCAGTTGCCAGTGCCATCACGTCTACCCAAGGGGAAGGTAATTCCTCTTCGGTTGCTATCGCGAGTTCAACTGCTTCGGACTGAGCGCTCGTAACAGCATTCTCGTGCAAATCGTGATTTGAAACCGCGATAAGAGGCTCATTTTGCAAATTTGCGTCATTGATGAATGAGAGAGTGTCCATCCCGTTCTCGAAAAGGTGGGCTTCGTTCGAGGAACTTATAATATCAGTAATATGACTAGTAATGCAATTGGCACTATACAACGCATTGTTGCTATCAGATATATTTTCTGCGTTTGATCGGTTTGCGAACACATCGTCGGAAGCAGTAATGGATTCATTTTTATACTGTTTCATATTATTCGTGAAACTTGTGCCCTCGGAAATGTGCGCTATTGCATTTTGCAAACCATCCTCCATAATCTTCTGCCCTAAATTTATCGGGATAGACTGATCCTGCCTAGCTGTACCGTCACTGTGCGCTTCCGGTAACGAAGCTGACTTGTGCGGATGACTCTGATGCCCGACTACATCCATCAAATTATCATGCTGCACGTCCGATTCGGTCATTTGATTAAATACTTTAAATTCGTTATAGTTCTCATTACTGTTAAAAACTGCGTGCTCGTTAAAATTATCTAAAACAATATCCGTCGCAAGAAGCGCAACTCCGGTAGTACCATTCGAATCTTCGTCTTTGGCAGAAGAATAATCGAGCTTCACGTCCAACTTGCGACGTGTCATAATATCCATTATATTAGTAGGAGTTACTTGTTCCGCTGCGTTTTTCGCGGACACATATGGCATGTTTTCATCACTTTGTATGAGATCTGTAGATATTGGTATGACAGCGTACGATTGTACAGTGGTGTTGCTCGCGCTCATTTTCACAAGTTTCAATTCTAATTGAGTTAACTTTTTTTGCTTCTCAGCCACATCGTCACCTCTGTTATCTCTGTTACCTCTATGCTTCTGTCGTGACATAAAAAAATTAAGATTTAATATGATTAATACGAGAGATACTCCATTGTTAATACTTTCGATTATTAATACTTACCGTATCATTATTCACAGCTTTGTTATGTGTTTTTATGTGGCTCTTTAAGCTATGAGGAGTAGTAAAACGTCGTTTGCAATTTTCAAAGGTACAGACGTACGGCCGTTCGCCTGTATGTGTCCTCTTGTGCGTTTTTAAATGGTGCGAAGCCGTAAAGGCCTTTCCACAACCCTTCTCTCTGCATCTTAAAATAAACGAGAAGTGATAAACCTAAATATATTGATAAAATATTCACTGTGTAGTCACTTTTAGAAACTAGCCGAGTTCAATGATCTGTTTTGGTGTCAATTTACTTAACATGTTTGAAATAATGACTTGTAATATGTCTTTCTTGTTTTTAATATTATAGGAAGTAATCGAAAAACATACTTGTACGGTCTTTCTTGAGTATGAGTACGTATATGTTTCTTGAGATCGCTTAAAGTAGTGAAGAATTTAACGCATCCAGTCTCTTCGCAGTTGAATGTATTGCCACTATGAAGTCTTTGGTGAGCTCTCAGTCTGTAAAGGGTATTGAACGCTTTCTCACATCCTTTGTGATTGCATTCAAACGGTTTTACTTTTGTGTGTACCCTAATGTGGATCTTTAGACTGTAGGACGTGAGAAAGGCCTTGCCGCAACTCGGTTCTGCGCATTTAAATCGATACTCGCCTGAAAGTTTTGAGAATTCCCTCCGCATAAAAAGATTGCAGGTCTACCTATCTCTTGCAGTATCTGAAAGCCATGCAGGTCAAAGCGTTCCCTTTATGCTAGCATTGACGAATTAACAATATCAGTTGCAGCAGAAAGATATATTTTATTGCCATTTATTGCCAGCGTTAACCGTGGAATGTATGGCTTTTCAACTTACCTGGATTCTATCATCCATGGAAGATAGCAAAAACAAGGGCACATATCATTTGTTAATATAGCGTATAGAACAAACTGCACATTGGATAAGCACAACATGCAAAGCACGATGGTTTTTATAACGATATAGATCAGACAATTATAGATGAGGCAACATAAACAATGGTACAATGAAATTTTATTGCCGAGATGAATATTCCAAGTACGATGAAAGATTTTTTAAGTATTAAATATAAAGTGGAAAATATACAGGAAGTAATTATATATTTATGATCTCATGTTTACCAAGTCACATTTTTCAAAATACATAATATGTTAGAGACATTTTGCCATGAGAAAGTTCTCTATTCTAATTTTATCACATCTACCGTTGAAAATCCCATAAAGTGTATATCGATTCTTAAAAGAAAGTTACTTTGGAGAAACTTACCTTTGTGTGTTTTCATATGAGTACGCAAATTTCCAATGGTACTATACGTTCGGGTGCAGCCTTCGTATTGGCAATTGTAACGATTTATATGCTTCTGATTGGCATCCGGGTCGATACTTTCAACCGTGACAGTCTCGAAAGGGGCTACGTGATCCTCGAGCGATATGTCATCTTGGCCTTGATGAATTCGCATATAAATTTCATCTGAACCGATGGCATGATGAATACGCCTGTAAATGTAAACATGTATCGATATATACACGCGTATCATATATTATATAATCTGTACCTGAGAAGTAAAACTGTCCCAACTACAAAATTATCGTTTTTGCTCCTTGTCTCGACTGAACGCTCTACTTATTTATTTTATATATATTTTCTTTGAGGAAAGTATTTTCAAACAAATTTTAGAATATTGTAAAAATAATTAGAGAACAACTTGTAGAAATGCAAGTTCATTTCAGCTCTCCCGTATGTCTTTGCTAAATGCCAGTTACGACAGTTGGCCTCTCAGGTACAGATTTTGGCTGATAGCAGAGCACAAGCGCTTACGACTGTCTTAAGTCGTAGACGTAGGGCAAGGCAAAGACCAATTTAAGTCGTGAAAGTCGCTTGTATACGACTTAAGTTTCTCTCTGCCTTACCGCTATCATAAGATACGTAATAAGAGATAAAGGCTGATGGCAGAGATCGATCCGTAAGCACTTAAGACTGTCTCAGGCACTTACGGATCGTTCTCTGCCATCAGTCTTTATCTCTTATCACGTATCCCATGATAGCGTCCTTTTCCAGATTCCCTACAACTCTATTAATTTAATGTTTCTTAAATATTACTAAATATTCCTTAAATAAGGTGAAATTGGCGGTAAGTTATATTGACATTGCTATTTCCGAAACCTAACAATTTTCCTAACTGTACAAAATGATAGACACATGCGCCAATTTTGTTATCAGATCTTACTGGCGGGTTGCGTATATAGCAGGATTGTGAGTAATCATTCGGTATACATAGGCATCGTGAAAACTAAATTTGTAACAGACTCGGCGTCAGTGTTCAATGCGAGAGAGCTTTGCAAAAGAGCGCCGCCACTAATATCGCGATGCGCGTAATTACGATAATAATGCTCCTAATTACGAGAGTAAAAGTAAAATAAACAATCAAGACGTAACAAAGCAACGAAAAATCGCACCCAAGTTAATTACAAGTTCATCGCCCGTTTCCACGAATACAAATTGTCAACAAACAGAGTAAGGCGCGCTCCACACCATTGTTATCGCACGTGTAACAATATATACGTGACATATGGTTTATTTTGAAACTGTTATGCAGCAGCCCAAGTTGAAAAGCTCCCGGAGGCGCGGACGGTGAGACGCCTCGGCGACGGTTCTCCCCAGGCGATTTATGAATTGAAGCGCTTCGAAGCTCCTATAGCCTTATAAGGCGGGGACGAGAAATACTGACAAGGGTGCGCGAGCGAAATATCGACGGTGCGAGCGACCCATAGGCCCGACCGCGTCGCTCTCTGGCTCGCTCTCGCGAGGAGCGCGCACGCGGTTGGGCGGGCGAGGGAACGCCGAGAGTCGCGCGGGAGTACGCCGTGAAAAAATTGTCGAGCGTCTCTTCCGGACTCACTCAGCCGTGCTGTCGTCGGCAGGCAGCCCGTCGTTGATAGCAGCATCGTCGTCGGAGTACTTGTCGTAATCGAACACCGCACTCTGCTCGTAGACCCTCTCGAAGCTGGACAGGTCGAGGGAGGTGTCGTCCAGGCAATCCTGCAGATCGTGCGTCACGAGGATGTTGTCGAAATTGCCGCCGATACCGTCCGCATTCGAGTCCTCTTGGAACTTGTCGCTCTCCCACATCGCCATACTTTTTCGGGTCGTTGCGCGACAAACAAAACGCGCGACGAACCTCCCCGTTCGTGCTCTGACATAACCTACAACCTGCGACGCAATCGGCAAGGCAGGCCGCCGAGGAGAGCCCGTTATCGACGCGGAGAAAGATGCAGCCGACGTAGCAGAGCCGACAGCACGGAGAAATGACGAGTTTCTTATCACCGTTGCCTCTCTCCTGTAACTTGTTTTTTTTTAATTAAAAGTAGGTGCTGGTAGCATTTCTGCCGACAATCCCTCTCTCTCTCCCTCTCACCCCCCTTCTCTCTCTAATCAGTCAAATGTGATTGGCCGGGACCAAGTTTGTTCAGGTCACAGGCCAGTATTCGTAGTCCGTTCATATATTTAAAACAGAGAAAAACCTGAGGCCGGTATTCATAGTCGATTCTTATTTCAAAATCATCTTGAGTGTTGTCTTAAGAAGCTAATACGGCTCTGCGATTGGTTAAAAAAACACATTAAGAGTATACTTGAGATGATCTTAAATACATATAAGAACGGACTATGAATACCGGTCTGAGAGCGGCCACGCCGGTGTTTTACTTGTTACCGTTTCGCTAAGCAGTTTCCAGCGTTTTACGCCCACTTTTATTTTTGGAACTACTTCGCTACGCCCATTTTCAAGCACTATCGATAAAGTCTCCAGGTAATACTGAAGGCGAGTCTCTCATTCTCAGTTTTTGATGAAAATTCATAGGGTCGTGTATTTTTGCCTGTAAAACACGAATTTGCAAGTTAAAATTGTCACTCGGCACTAATAAGAGTTATAAATTATTAAAATCTGACAGTTGTGAGGTTAAGATACCTGTCGTATGTACCGACACCAACAAACACTATAAGCGAGCGGCGTAAAAGGAGAGCATCAGGAGGAGACGATACCATGCAAGAATCTGAAAAAAAACACGAAAAACAAAACAGTCATACATAAATTATATATCGTACAGAATGAATAAATGATCAACAGGTTTATAAAATTAAAGTTATATTTCTTCAGTTCTTTTAGTTTTGACCATGAAAATGACCTTGTCGCAAATTTTTATTGTCATACTCGTAATCAGCGTTCAAAAATACAAAAAATAGTGTCGCTTCAAAAAGATCGGAGGGTTCACCGATTCGGATTTAACTACTCCCAGATAGCACAGGACGTCCTCAGGATCATCCTGAATATGTCCCGGGATGTCCTGGGATCTTTTCAGGACATAGTTGTATTACTTAGTTGTATTATATAAATATTATAAAATATTATATAAATATTTTATATAAATATTTTATGTATAAAACTTACTTCAGAAATAATTCTAGAATA